TGGGAATAAAGAACCACAATTAGATTTTAAGGCAAGTAACCAATTACCCTTAATTACCATTTTAATCCTTATTGATTTTTCTTGTAAAACAAAATTTGTTTTATTTTATAATTATCAAAACTAGTGTTCAACATTATTTACAAACATATTCTAATCTAAACAAAATGCATAACAATCAAGGGAGGGTCTTAGAGAGAGGATTGGTGAAATATATACATTCCGTCCGATTCAAACTGTGAAACACTTCCACCTGTATTTAACATACAGTAAAAGTAGCTATGGCCTTACTTTCATGAAAAGCGAAAAAAAAAAAAAAAAATGAGATGCTTTTCCATTTTTACCACTGACCCCTTTATTATAAACAGTGAAAAGAAGTGTAAGTGAGGTTATACTTCTCATGTCTACAATAATTAATATAAAGGTAAATTTGAAAAAATAATTCAAAAAAGTACTAAGTGTTCTACATTTTTTACTTAAAACCTAAAAAAAAGTCATATAATTTAGGTAGGAGATAGTATTTATAAAGTCTCATGTAAATTAAAGTTAGAGTTTGAGGTGGCCTCTTGTTAAAAAGATGCCATGGCTAGTGATCATGTCACCAAATTCAACCCCAACGTGCATGCTTGTGATACAGAAATCACAAACAAGAGAGAATCAACAAACTTAGCCTAAAAACAGTTTTTTTTTTAATAAACTAGAAGTATATAATGCAGAAAAGTTATTAGAAGTAGAAACACTATGTCAGAAAGATATAACTCTCTCCCTTAACAAACAGAAGATGTAAGCATTGAATTATCTGAGAATCTGGTGATCTACTGCATGCATATATACATACATGTATGTGTGTGTTTTGAAACACTCTGTTTTGAAACAACCCATAACACAAAACAGAGCACCAAAAAAAACCAGACAGAAAATAAAACTAATTAAAGCTTACCATCTAGATAAGCTAAATCATCCCATTCTATGCAAAAGGAAATATGAGAAAGGAAAGAAATTCTCGTTTCTGTAAAAATAAAAGCTTTTCAATCATTGTAAAGTATGGATCTTAGTTGGAGATGCTTCGCCATTCTTCACACAGTTTCTTTCTCTGAAAATTTTTTAATTTCCTCTCTTCATCTTAATTACCCCATTCAATCCCTTCGTTCCACTGCTTCATGGCTAAAACATATATAGAGAACCAATTATATCTCTAGAAATTATGATGAAGACAAACCGAGCAACAGTTGTGAGTTGATTATTCTGATCAACGCGTACTCTTGCTCTTCCATGCTAAGCTCGGAACGCTTTCAGCAACGACGAAGGCCATTCTTATATAAGGGTCAAGCAACCGTGCCACGCGGGAGGGTGTGTATCCATTGGAAGGATGGCAAATAAGAATCCTATAAAAGTATCAATGTCAAGTTAAAACTTTTTAACATTGATGTTTTTAAATTTCAGTTCTTCTTCTATTATGTTTGAGTATTAAAATTTTTAATTTTACATTAATATTTTTACAAAGTCTTTATTTATCATTCGCCTTATCATTCATTCTCCATTTCCCTTGTTTTCTCTAAATGATCAAAATTTTAATGGTCTTGATTTAATATTTGTTAAAATTATTACTAAAAAATACATAAAATATATAAATGATTTTGAACAATTAAAATTAGGTGATGGTAAGAAAAGAAACTATTAAAATTTGATTTAATCAATTTAAAACTGTACTATTTTATTATATGTTTTTATGTAAAATTATAATAATAATTTAATCAAATATTAAATATGAACCATTAAAAAACTTTGATTTAATTGTGATGAAAGGAAAATGAAGAAAATGGAGGGTAAAGAAAACCTCTCAAGCACCGAGGTGCTCATTATATCCTTAATAAAATTTGATCAGTTTAAATTTAAAATTTTTTATGTTTATTTTTATTTATTAAAATAAATTTATGAAAATATCTTTTCTCTTTGGCCAAAAGCTGGTATATAGATAAATTTATAAAAGCTGGTATATTGGACTGTTCAAATTAAATTTCTACTCTTCAGATTAGCCGTGGACAAACATTTCAAAAGTTTTCATATTTTTTTATAAATTTGTATTTTAATAAATATAAAAAAATAAAAAGTAATAAAAATTTTAAATCTGAAGTATTTGTTTATTTATTCTTTTTTTTTAATGATATATCCCACATTTGACCCTTTTTTCTTTCAATTATATTTTTGTTCAACTGCTTTAATCTAAACAATGTTTTCATTTTATTTTATTGATGAGTCACATACAATTTTTATTAAGCATTACTTTTTTTTAATTTAGTGTAGCAGACATTAACACTTGAGATTAAATGAGACTGAACTCTTAATTTCTTATTTATTAACAAGCTTTCATGTCACAAGACTATTGGCTATTGACTTTTAGAAAGTATTCTAACTCCACAGTGTTAGAGAAAAAATATTTGACTATTTTTTTAAAAAAATTAATTACAAAATAAAAAAAAAGAAAATAAGAAATAAAAGTGAACATAAGAAAAAATTGATGGAATAAACTACAATGAAATACAATTAAGAGATGAGAATGAGTTGAAGAAAATTTATATCATAGAAAAACAGAAACTCGTGAATCGTAATTTTTTCGTTCTAATTTTTATTTTATTTTAGTATATTTTATGTATCCGACGGTTTTTCTTTTAGGTAAGTGGGGGAAAAAAGGGACAGATTTTCAACGACGAAAAAGATATTTGATAATTGATAGAATATCCCTTTACCACCAAACACGCCGCAAATGAAAGGGACAGATTTTCAACGACGAAAAAGATATTTGATAATTGATAGAATATCCCTTTACCACCAAACACGCCGCAAATGACACACACACACACACACACACACACACACACATATTTGTGTATATATATATATATATTTTTTTCAAATCTTCAATGCACAGTAAAGGTAGTAAGTTAAGGATAAAATGTGAAGCAGAACAATAGAAGACTTGATTTATAATTTATAAAATTATAAAATTAAATCTCACATTGGTAAGTAATTTATGAATATCTTTATAAGTATTTATTGGGTCAAGAGATATTTTATTCTTGATAAATGCTTCAAACCCAACTTAATTTTTTTTTTTGAGGCCAACTTCAAACCCAACTTAACTAAACTATACTTTATCAAGAAAAACAAAACAAAAAAGATCAAATTTATTGTCAGCTAATTCTATTTCTATATAAAAAAAAAACCGACTGCAATAATTGATCCGAAGACATAATAACAAGTTAACAATGCAATTCTCGGCCGAAAAATTAAAAAAAGTAACTGCGCCGTCCGGAGTTGTTGGCATTAAAATTAAAAAAATAACTATCAGCAGTGGGGCCTTGCACATCTCTACTCCTTTATACTAACAAAGTATATATATTTAATAAAAATAAAATTAAAAACTGATTAAATTTATAGAAGAAGTTAATGAATTTGAATAATTTCTTTGATTTCAAAAAAGTATCCTAAAATTAACTTGTAAATATGCTTGGAACTTGGTGGTACCGTGAAAAATAAAAAAAATACAGAGAAGTATATACAAGACTTGATGAAAATTAAAGAAGTTTTTAAAAATCAAACATTTTATTAAATCGAGTAAGAGAGTGATTTAGTATTTTATAGTCAAACTGTTTTTCCGATCACAACTAATTCAATATATTTTTTATTTTATATGTTAATCATAAAATTAAATTTATGGTTAAATGATAATTAACCCTAATTTGGGATTTTAAATTTATTTCTAGTGTAATGTTCTCATTCAACTTTTAAAAAATGATGAAATCTAGTTTCTATCATTAAGAAAAATTTAATTTTGATTGTTAAGTGACCAGAATATGAGAGAAAAAGAACCTAAAAAGTTACAAAACATCAAAAATTATAGTAAAATATTTAAAAATTACAGATAAAAACCCAAAAATAATAGAAAATGGACCAAGAAAATTTTATTAATCTTTGTTAATAATTTTTTGATATTTTTTCTGCTATTTTTGAAACCTAATGGTTAAAAATAATTTTTGTTAATTATATAATTTAGACTTCACTTTTTTTAAAAAAAAATTGAATCAATTTATTCTTTTATCTTCAAATTTATAGGACGAGTTTAATGGGTTTTTTTGGGCCTTTTATTATCAAAGTTAGTTAAAGTGGTAAACCACAACACACTGATATGTGCCATCCATTCCACAACGCAATCTCGGGCCCAAAAGTAACAGCACCATTCACGCCAGAAGAACCACCGTTCCCGGTGGGTACGTAAATAATTAATAACTACGACTAAATAAAAACTGTTTAAAATAAAAAACAAAACAATATTTGGCGCTTAATAAATGGAAATTAGGTATAATTGTAAAGAGACGTGTCAACAACCCATTCGCATCATCAATCCGACCGCCCCCTGCAGTGGTAGTGCGATTCTGGGTCAAAAGAAGCGACTTCTTTGTTCAGATTCATCTGAATTTAATGAGTGGTATAATTACACTCATTCGTCAATTATAGCAGTTGGACTTTAACTAGACTTGAAAAATACAACCATACATTTCTGTCCGAAAATTAAAACAATCTTCCCAATTAAAATACTTTTTACTTATATTATTTTTTTAAAATATTTAAAAATTAATATTTTTTCATATTATATGACAATATTTAACAACCGTTTAAATCAAACTGTTATTATCTTACTATATAAAACACTTATTAAATTAATATAGTTAAACTACTCACCGAGCCTAAATCTCATTAAATCATGGCTTTGGAGGGAAAAAAATCTAAACACCCTTTCTGTGTTGAAACTCTATTCCGTATTAAGTATTGTCATATATGACAAAATTTCTCACAATCATTCAATTAATCGGTCGTTAACACGTCTCTATATTACACCTCTTCTTATCATATGGACAGTTGTTAACACGTCACGCCGACAATCATGACCAAATCCCTTGCTCTTTTATTACGCCTCTCTTTATCATATGTACCTAACTCAATAATTATGCCTACCTAGGAGAATTGGGAATGACATTGAGAGGTTAAAAGGGACTCAATTCGTTTGGGGATCGAACGAACAATGAAAAAACGCTCACTTGTAGTCAAGTGGGATACTCCCCCAAGGAATCATGGAGGGCTTGGCTTTTGGTTCGCTTGAAGCTGAGGGAGGGAAAAGGAAAGAGAAAGAAGGCTGAAATCCTTGGTTTGGTTGTTGTTGTTGTTGTTATTATTATTATTATTATTTACTGAATGGTTTGTATTATTTTACCTTAAAGAAAATTAATTTGTTAATCCTTATAATTTCACTTGATTTTTAATATGGTTATTGTAGTTATTTTTCATTTAATTGGGTCCTTATAATTTTTATAAATTGCCATAACAATGCATACATATATCGTGGTTATATATGTAATTTAGGTTAGTGATATAAAATGGTGTGAAATATAATATGTAGGGTTAAGATATTAGTCCAAGCATAAAGTTGTGTAGTTTGAATGGATAATTGAGTGAAATTTGGCCAAGTGTGAATTTATGTGATTTTATGAGATGAGTCATGTTGTGTTGAAATGGAGTCAAGTGACCAAATTTATGTATAGTTGTATTTTTGTTGATATATTTGCTCAATCAAGTGGAAAATGTATATTTGGTTGTTGTTAAGGTCTTAAAAGTGATTAATGATACAAGATTGTGATTTGGGACACTCATATGTGAAATAATGACAAGATCTAATTACCTTCATGTATTAAATGAATATAGTTTGGTAATGTTTGGGAAGACGGTACAAGAAGAGGGGTCAAAAACATTTATAACCTTTCTAAGATGAAGAATAACCAATGGACACACACTTGACAACCTTGGGTTCAAGTTTGGAAGCAGAGTTAAGATGGACAAAAGTTGAGCACCCAAAAATTTTCGATGGAAGATAAGTTTCAAGGTGGCATGGAGAATGAACTTTATGAAGGAGATCAAGTGGTGGCATAGGTTAAAATTTTTGGTTGGCATTCGATTTATGAGGTAAGTGGCATTAAGGATGGCATCTCCCCAAAACTATTTTGGCATGAGTGGTAAATATAAGAGCATGGTAAACTTCTAGTAATTTTTTTTTTCACATTTAACAATCCCATTTTTTAAGGGGTATTGGCACAAGAGGTTTTGTGAACTATGCCCTTCATTTTTAGAAACTCACTCATGGCCTTATTTAGGTATTTTGTACCATTACTAGTTTGAAGAATTTTTATAGAGGTGTGAAAATGGTTAAGAACTATGGTGTAGAATTCCAAGAATATAGATGCCACTTCAAATTTCTCTTTGATTCAATAAACTCAACACACACAAGTATGATCATCTATAAAGGTAACAAACAATTTGGCTTGAGTTTGGTTTGGAACACTCAAAGGACCCCATACATCACTACAAATAATAGAAAAAGGGTTGGAGGCTTTGTATTCAGTGCGCAAGAAAGAAGAATGATGGTGTTTAGCCAATTCACAAGTATCACAAAAATTTTATTCAATGAAAAATGAGAAAACAAACGACCTAAATACTAAACATTAGGATGTCAAATTCTTTTATGCCATAACAAAATATCATTATTCTTTGAGGTAGACACAAGATTGCACCAAATTCAAGACCAGAGACTACTTGCAGTTGATTCATCAAGGTAGCATAGCCCATCATACTCCTCAACATTGCCAATCATCTTCCTTAATAAGAGATCCTAAAAAATACAGTGAGTAGAGAAAAAGTGAGCACTACAATGGGCTTATTTAGTCAACTTGTTTATGGATAACAGATTAAAAGGTAAATAGGGAACATGAAGTACTGAATCCAATTGTGAAAATTCAAAAATAGTAATGCTTTCCTTTCAGTAATAGAAGAAGACGTTCTATAAACAATATCAATATTCTCAAGCCTACTACATGGAAAATATGATGTGAACATTGTGGAGTTTGCAATCATGTGATATAAGGCCCCATAGTCAACAATCCACTATGATTTATGGAAAGTGGCATTCAAAGCATAATGACTATTACCTTGTGTAGCCACACAAGCAATGTGAGATTTGAGATGGTTGCTTAGAATGTTGTAAAGTATTTAACATCTCTAAGAGCTTGGTTAACTAGTCTTTAGCAATTTTAGGAATGGAACTAGATTTGTTTGTGGCACTCTCTAGAGCAGCTTGATACCCACGTGCCTTCCCCTCACGTGGTTTCTAGTGAGTAGGCCTCTCGTGAAGATCCCAACACTAATCTTTCATGTGTCCTATCTTTTTACAATAAACACACATAATATTTTCCCTTTTGTCTTCTTCATACCTTGATCGAGGTTCATGCTTACTATAGTAGAGGATTCAGATGAAGAAGGTACTATAATAGGGTTAGTGAGTATCCCCTTTTGATGAGAGGCCTCTCTACAAACTCCACCAAACGCATCTCAAGTAAAGGGTAACGGTGAACGAGCCAAGATTCTGATATGGACATCATCTAAGAAGTAATGAAGGCCTAGCATGAATTGAAACACATGCCCATTGTAACACTTGTCCCGAGTGTTATCCAAAAATCACACAATTCAAATAAACTAAGTGTGGTTAACAAGTTGATCCTAAAACCAACTTAGGAAACAAATTATTTAAATCACTAAAGAGATACACTATAGCAAAACACACATTTAAATCAAAATTTTTTTAGAAAATTCTGAAGAATTAAGATATAGTGCACGAAAGAAAACTAGACAAACAAGGGCATTTAATTGCTGTCATGACAATATTAATCTACAGTCATGACAATCCTCCAGGCAAACTTCTGGGAGGTGCCAATTCACCATTTGGCCTTCGATTAAAGTGATTTCAAAGTTCACACGTCACTTCTAATGTGTATTAATTAGTTTTTCCAAATTTTAAAAAGATCCAACTATCGGATTAAAATTTGGACACGTTATACATTTGGTTATTTTTTTGTTGTCAAAAGTTGTCATGATAGCATCTCTGGACCAACTTTCGGAGTGCATCATTTCATCATCTCGACCTCTAATCAGAGTGATTCTAGAGCCCACTTGTCACTTTCAAAGAGTACTACTAGTGTGCCAAATTTTAAAAAGATCCAACAAACAGATTAAAATTTGTGCATGTCCCAACATCAATATTATTGTTGTCATGACAGCACCTCATGACCAAATTTCGGACTGCACCATTTCTTCATCCGGTGTTTGATCAACGTGATTCTAAAGTCCACATAAAGCTTATAAAAAGTTTTACTTATGATCTAAATTTTAGAGAAATCCAATGGTTGGATTGAGATTTGGATACTTGGATGCAAAAGTACAGTTTTTTGGTAAAAACCATTTTTAAAATTGTCCAAATCTCATCCTAAGGGTCCCAAACTTATGGGAACACTTTAGACACGTCAAATAGGACTAAAAGTACCTGATGGAACATTTAAATGATAGAAAAACTCCTTATATCAAAATTTGACCACCCGGGTGCCATTTCTCAAAATGGACTCTAAACCTCCAAAATGCATAAATCATACAAGAGTGGTCAAAAATCAATCTAAACACTATGTATTTATATAAATACACATGCTAAATATTTTTACTAAGCTCAGAGATCCCCGTGGAGCCCACGTACCCATTTTCTCTATCCAAGGTGTATGTTTGCCTTTAGCATACAATTCACAATGCAACTACTTTGTAATTACGTGTAGAATCACATATATTCATATATATATATATATACACACACACACCAAAATAAACATTTACTTGTGGTGAAAACTTGGTCTATCAAATTAATCCATCAAAACCACATACCATAACCAAGTTTCCTAAACACATGTCTATAAGCGGCAAAAATGCATACACAAGCACACAATCCACACATATGCACATATATGTGTAGTCACATCCTACTGACACCCTAACCTAAATACATTACAATATACTTGCTTAAAAGAAGGGGGTTGCAGATCTTTAAACCCACAAGCAAACCCTTAGCTTGGCTCTTTTTTCCATCCACTACTGGATCCTTTGCTTAGACCTGTAAATATTATTAAAAAAAAGGGGTGAAACAACTACAATCTCAGTAACAGAGAAATCAATATTCCTTATTACAAGGAAAGCCATAGTTAATTAAATAAATAATAGATTCAAAATAATATATAATTAACTAATTAAAATGCTTGAATGTATGAGATAGGCTGATATGACCTTTCCTGACTAACAAAGTGCCCCTTGGTACTCTTTAGCTTGTAGGTAAACTTTTTACCCACTGTACCTTCATAGGAATAAAATATAAACTAAGGCATGATCTGATCCACTGAACCACCTGTGCTCTTTCGACGAGAATCCTGAGCAGTCAAAGCTAACTCCCTTCTAAAGCCAGCTTAATTTACTCTCTATGTAAGGGCTACCTTGGCCTAGGCACTCAACCTTACACTTCATATGTCGGATTTCCTCCCCTATTGAGAGGTGTCAAATACTTAATCCACTAACCACTTTAGTGTACTGAGCCCACAATATGAAAGGCAACACTGAGTACTGACAGTGAGCTATAGAATATCATAAGACTGCATCTCCCCATTGGTGAACTTCCATCAAGATCATGCCTTCTACCCTTTTCTACCTTTCCCAAGTATTGACCACTTCAACATTCAAGGTAGTATAACACTCATAATTCATCTCTTAAGCAGTTCATTAACCTATCTAAGGTACCAAATCTAGTTGCACTCTCTAACTACAACTCCTCATTTTTTTATGACCACAATGTATGCTAATAATCTTATTTTCATAAATAACATCATTATTAAATAGATAATAAACATAGATGCATTAATATCAAAGTAATATCCCATAAACCCTTATAAAATACATTTTATTTGCATTCAATTATGTGAAACATATAATGCATGCTAGATAATATTATTTACTCAAAATAGTTAAATAAAGCAATATAAAATATAAATTTCCTTGTTATCTCAACCTCTTTGTACCAAAAGGATTCCCCTTATACAAAAATATGACTCGACTTATCTTTTAACTTCTAAACAAATTTCACTAACAATTCCTACAACATATAAGTGATTCACATCACTTATCATGGCAAATAACATAGAAGAAGACTATAACTCATACCACACAACTTGAATCAATGAATCATAATCTATCCCAATAGTCCATATATTAAACCAACCATTCACATAATACCACTTAGCTACCAAAACCATTTATTAGCTACCACTAGGCCAATTTCCAATTCATATAATTTTTAATCAATTAAAAACCTTACTTAGTGTCACCAACTTTTACCATTAGCCCTTATATGAAAACTAAACCTTAATTTAAATCTTATTGGGCTCAAATAGAAAAATTATAACTAAATCAATAGACTTAAACCATTGAGGAACAAAACCCAACCTTTTAGGGTTTGATTAAACTTCATTTTTCATCCAAATACCCACTCAAAATATTAGAGCACCATATAAAAACTCAAAACAACCTCTCAAGGATCCAAAAAAACCAAAGCTTACAAGAATAAAAACTTTGGGATCAAAATTCAAAAATTTTATCTTTCAAAAATTGAAGAAAATCAAGAGGAAAGGAAGATGATTGAAGTAGAGAGTTTGCCTACTGCGTAGTAGAGCTCACAACAGTTACAAAGCCTTCCAGATTCGAGCCTAAGTCCCTCTCTTCTTTCTCTCTTCTTCCTCTCACTCTCTTGTCCGTGCGTTTCTTTTTCTTTGTTTCTATTTTTAGCTTCTAGGTGCTGTTTTTCTTTAAAAAATTGATCTTAAAATATTTTGAAAAAAATTATAAGAAATGGCCCAATATTTTTTATTATGATACAAAAGTCTGGGTCAACTTTGATAATTTTTTCATAGTTAAAAATAAAATAAAATCAAACTTTTGCTTAGAAAAATTCAAACTCGGGACCTCTATCATACTATTCTTAATTTTAATTTAATTATAAATATTTTATTTTATCTTTTTAAAATAAATCTGAGTTTTAAAATTTCAGGATGTTATATTCATCCTCAAAACTTTCTTTATACCTTGTAGCATCACGGGCACAAAACCATTCCTCCTTGTGTTGAGGTCAATCTCTTGCTATATTGCAACCAGTTCCAACCAAACCTCTTGAAGATCGTGTTCACCTTGTTTGATCTACCAACTTTTAATTTTCAGATCATATGATCAAGCACCATCCTTACCATCCAAGCTTGATTCTCGAACAACATCCCAGATATCTTTCACCATCAGCAAGAACGTGAGAGAACATCGAACCTATGGGAGCCATAGCTGTGACCAACCACAAAACCACCATCGAGTTCTTAATCTCCCACTTCAACGTGGCCATTGTGTTTAACCCATCTAGTGTCTTGGAATCATTGGTACTGAAGCCCAGCTTGCCATAACCACCAATAACAAGCCTTATGGGTTGAGCCCACTCATAATAATTGTGTCCGTTGAACTTGTCAGACAAAAGAAGAGAGGACCATTTGGCAGAACTCAACCCATAGGGAGTTTCTCTATGGGTGTGCATTAGCAGAATCTTGGTGCCGAAACCCACGGAAGACAGTCTCAAGCAGCTCAACTCAGACTCCCCTTCTGGTCGAACATTGATGCCTTCAATTTCTAGGTCAAAGTCAACTTGCTTTGATACCATGTAGGAATTTGGACCAGAAGCTTGAAAGTTCCACTCTGTTATTCGGGATATGTACATGAGTTACATGAGCTGACTGTATAAGGAAATAATAAACAAAATCAAATCACTCATTTACACCCACAATCTCATAATTATATTCCTATAAATCTGGAGTAAATAATTCTTAATTAATTTCTAATTAACTCTATTTCACAATTATGTTAATAAATAGGTGCACTTAACTAAAACTGTTGCAAGGTAATAAAAAGCTATTTACTTCGTTCCCTGCAACGCGTTCAGCTTCAATTGAAATTCTTTCAAGGTCCTTGCTCCTTGTCCACGGAAATCAAGCTTATATTCTAAATCCTGAACTTGTCTTTGCAAAGCTTTAATTTCTTGAAAGAGCCAGTTAGCAGAATCAATGGGCTGTGACAAGTTTTCAACCAAATCCTTGTTAGCCCTAACTTGAGCTAAAACACATAAAACCTGACACAGCAGTTTTGATGGAAGAAGAAATCTTGTTAGAACAAGAACCAATGCCTTCATCATCTAAAACCTGAATGAACTACAGTATTATATATGCTGTAACAGGTAATGTCATGAAGAGAGAGGGGAGGAGTACTAAATGGCTCATCAAAAATAATCATCCTTACTTAAAAGCCAAAATAAAGTAGAGGTGAACATAGATGACCATTTCTCTTTGAAAAAAATGTACTCTGATTTTCCAAGGTTAAAAAAAATGGAAAAGCAAAAAATATATAACGCTGTAGAAATTCCGCTCTTCACAAAATTTTTTGAGTACTTTGATTTTTATTTAGAGCAAAATCTCTTGTTATAACAGAGAACTTTTAGGCTACAAGAAATGGGTAATCAAATAAACACCCATACTTTACCTGTCTCTTTTCTCATTAAGTATATGGAGTTAAAAAAAAATGAATCACGACAATCTCAATGCTAAAACTTCAAACAAAAGGCATGTGTTGCTGAATAGAAGGCATATCAGAGATGCAAATTTGTTTTTTCTTTTCGTTCGGTTTTTTTTTTTTTTTTTTTGTGCAGGAGTAAGTAGATTAATTTTTCCCGCTTGAACTAGGATGTTTAGAAGCATATAGTGAATATGAAATCTACAAAGAGAATTGCTAGAGGAATGGAAGCTATTATAGTGGTCTCTCGTATTTATATTTCAATTTGATCGAGAATAAAGTCATATGGGATAACTAAATCCCACATTGAGTATTATGATGTATCATTTTATGAGGCACCTAAGTGGATTGATTCTTCCACCTCCATGGCTAACTTCTGAGAAAAAGTTCCTCATTTCACTTAAGTATCTATCAATTAGTATATAAGCTTGGTTGTTTTTCAAAAAAGCTATCTATAAAAAGTTCTGATTGATAGAGAGATTCTAACTAATGAGAAAGTTAAGTAAAGTGTCATATAGCATAGCTATTAGGAATCAGCTCTCCAATGGAAGTCAAAAGACTTAGAATGGATTTCCTAAGTCTCACATTGAATAAATGGGGGTGCTCTACGGTGTACTAGCTTAGGTTGGTTCTCCCATTTTAAATAGCTTGGTTCTAGGAGAGAGTTTCCTATTCCATTTGAGTACCATCCACCAACTATGTTCTTTTGTCTTCTTTCAGAATGTTTCGTCCTCTTGCATTTACTTTCTTATTGACAACTAATGACAACTAATAAACTTAGGAGATCCTAGCAGCTCCAAGGGAATTTTTAAAAAAAATAAGAAAAGAAGGCAAATGGTCCTCAATGTTCAAAAGTAGCAGACCCCATGAAATAGAGGCACGTCGACTGACAGAACAAAGTTTTAATAAGCAAAACAACATAGCTATTAAAACACACACGTTTGTGAAAGAAGAGACTTGTGGCTTAAGATTATGAGATAACGACCCATCCAACTACAGCTGATACCAACCAAAAGAACAACTCTACACAGAGACTAACTTATATCCCCTCCTTCTAAATTTTACTTTCTGTCCTCCTTTCTCTAGCACAAGTATTATTTAGAAAAAGTAAATGATGATAGAGGTAGAATAGAAAGACAGAGAGAAAGAGAGAGAGAGAAGAGGCAGAAGGGAAATAGAGAAGAGAAAGTCTAATTCTATTCGTGATGACCCAGCACAACTTAGAGGCCTATTTATAGAGAATATACCTAAATATTCAAATTACCCTTATATTCCTAGTTCTCCTAATTATCTCTATTATTTCTAATTCTCATGTATCAATACTTCCCCCAACAAGAGATCCTTGTCCTCAAGGATTAGTACAAAAACAAAAGTAAAACATATATATAAAATAAGACTTCTCTCTTTGTTGTTGTTGTTTTTTTTTTTTTTTTTTGATCTTAGGTTGCTAAAACTTGTAAAAGAAAATGATTTGAAAATTAAACAAACTTAATGGACATCAAAAGCCCAGATTTTCTACAGTGATCCTTCAATCCAAAAGCCCAATTACAGAAAGCCACATAGACTTTTGAGAGACCCATTGCTGAAGCCGAAGAACACGTTATAGCTCCATCTTCATAATCCAATTCCATGCAAAGGCTTTTGGGGTCATATATACTTGAGAAGCCCAAACTTCACAAACAACATGTCTAGCAGTTTTGTAGTTAAGTCCATTATGACTTTGCTCCAGCTTGCTTGCACGTGAAGCCCAACCCATGTCAAACGATGGTCTAACAGCACTTTCATTAAATCTCTCTCTCTGTCCATATAATACCAAAAAAATTAAAAGTTGAAGCACCTACTCTGGCAGGGAGATAGGCCTGCACAAACAAAAGATGTGAATAATTAGAATGACTATAATATTTGAATGATTCCCATTCAAATGATCGCTTCCTTGCAAAACAGCCAGACCACTTGTAAACAATCCACACGCTAGTTTTTAAAAGTGATAAAATGCCCTGTCAATTTATTGGCAATTTATTTGATTAATAAGTAGTTCTATAAAAGAAGAAATTAATAAGTTATCCATTTATTTGCTGCGTTACCAGGTTGAAGGCTGACATCAGACATCCTCAATGAGAAAGAATGGCATTGAATGCAGTAGGATCATTTGAGGGTAATCAAAACTGATCCAAACCAATGACACCGAACCAAATTAACATGAACAAATCAAAAACTATTATAAATAAGATTTAGTTTGGTTTTTCTCATGGTGAAATTGATTGATTTGATTCGGTTCGAGTTTTTATTTTTTAAAAATTAAACCAAACTAAATCAAATCTTATTATATTTATTTTATATATTCTTATAAATTTGTCTAACTTTTTCCTTTTTTCCTAAATTTAGTTATCTATAAATTGATGGTTAAAAATATATTGCAATTAGTTAAATATCATCTATAATTTTTATAATACTTTTTAAGGATACTTGTCTATAATTAGTTAAGTATTGTCTACAAGTAGCAAAAATGCTACTCCATTCATTTAAAAATATAAGGCATTTTTGGAGAAGTATGATGTTAGAAAATAAGGCATTTTTAATTTTTTAAGGTGTAATCATTGCCTTTTTTTCAAAGGTGCCCCTATTGATAATGACTTTATATTTATTATAAAGTGTTTAATAGAAATAAATAAGTAAAGATAGGGTTAGTTTGAAGGTAAGTAACTACTTTATTAGAGGGTGAGATTTAGTTAAAAATACCTTACATTTTAAACAAAAGGGGTATTATATATATTTGACAATAAAATGTTATCATTATTAGTATTTTTTTGTAAATTAAAGTAACTAACTTTGTTTTATATTTTTTTGCAAAAATTATCACTCAAATATCATCATAAATTCATGATAAACATACTTTGATCAAGTGCTAATGAATTAAAATATATAATTCAAAAGATGCCTATAGTTTCATCTGTTTTTGATAATTAATCATTTAAAAATAAACTTATACGATCACTTTGTTGTTAGTATTTTCATGCTATTAAAAATATTTAGAGGAAAATAAAAAAAAATCCTATCAATTATCAAGTGGCTATATAAATACAGTTTACAAAAAAAAATGACATACTTATAATAAGTTTAAGTTTTAAAAAAAAGGAAAAAAATTTAAATAAATACATTGAAATTTGATTCAGGCATTAATCAATTCAAAAAGAAAACCAAACTAATCCAAACCAATTTTCCCAAAATTTGATCAAGTTTCAGTCATATGCAAATTGATTGATTTGGTTTAGTCTAGCTTTTATTTAAAACTAAACCAAATTGAGCTCGTGAACACCCTACCATTTGAGAGCATATTTAGTTAGATGAACAAAAATGGATCATTATAACGATATATGTAATATTTGGTATGCTGATGTCATTATTACTTTTTTTTTTACCAGTGACGTCATTATTACTTAGAAGCAACTGTATTTTCTAAATCAGGGACATTAAGGACATGTTTCATCTACAAAATCCATTTTCCTAGCATATTTTTCTCTCCATGCTGTGCAATTCAAAGTGAACACCCCCTCTTTTCTGGAAAAATTATCAGGACCATAACACCATAAGCAAACCAATAAGAATTCTGTCTATAACAAGCAAAGCAAACCAGAGATCAAGAAAAAGTTCTCCATGATGGGGTCTCAATACATGTGTTTGTCCAAGGAAATTAAATAACGGCTATTGTCCTTTCAAAACATGTAATAGCATGTGTCAAAGAGTAGAGACACATTTAAAAGCAAAGCTTTCATTGTATTTCTTCACTAAAAGATAGAAAACGGTATATATATATATATATATAAACATATTTTTGCCAGATAAAACGGTACATATTGATAACAAGTCCTGCTTCCATATGCTTAAGGTTTCTTTACAGCTGCACATAGTGTCCAGAGGATATTAATGCAAAAAGGTGCTGGACTCAATTTCTCCTTTTGGACTTTTGTTTTTTTGGGGGCCGGTTTTAACTTATCCGTGCTACAAATTAGCAGGCCTCAAATATGGGCTGGTTTAAAAGCAGTTTTTGGTATAAATACAAAAACGTTGTTAGTGCTTCTTCCCACCATGGGAGCATGGACATTGACACAGACAAAAAGATGGACGCAGCAACATAACAAATTAGAATTGTCAGAGTGTCCCATTGCGACTCATACGGGGGTTTGATATACTCAAACAAAGACAGATCTCTTTTTCAAAAGCTTGTGCATTATAGTTCTTGACGATTCTATGATTTAAAATTAATGTTATTAACTACCAAA